GAGTCTAAAATAAAAGAATCTATTATAATAATATTCTTATAAAAGAATATAATAATATAATAATAATAAAAAGAGATTAAAAGAGGTTTTTAGTATTAATTATAGTATTTAGTAGTATAATTATTTAGTTAAGAAAAGTAAAACTAGACCTTAGGGGGTAGAGTTAAGCTCTTTTTATATTCTTTTTACTTTTCTATAAGATTCTAAAGGTTTCTATTATATTACTAATTATTAAATATAATTCATAATACTATTAATAATAAACTACTTTTTAAAATAATCTAAAATTACTTTATTATTAATTATTATTAATATTATTCTACTTAATTTTACTAAATTTTATTAGATTCTATTAAATTCTAGACGTTTCTATTATTTCTATTTATAATAATTAGTATTATTACTAATTATAAATATATTATATATACTTATATTACTATATAAATCTTATTATTATAAATAGAATATATAGAAAGTTTTAGAATTTCGTAAAAACTTTTAAAATATTGTAAAAACTTTTAGAATTTCGTAGAAACTTCTAGAATATTATAAAAACTTCTAGAATTTCGTAAAAACTTTTAGAATATCGTAGAAACTTTTAAAATATTATAAAAACTTTTAGAATATCGTAAAAACTTTTAGAATATTATAAAAACTTCTAAAATATCGTAAAAACTTTTAAAATATCGTAAAAACTTTTAAAATATTATAAAAACTTTTAGAATATCGTAAAAACTTCTAAAATATAATAGAAATTACTAGAATACTTAAGAAATATATTAATAATATAACTAATTATTATTAAATATAATAGTAAAAAGAGTTTTTAAATAAAATACTAATTAGTAATTTATAGAATCTTTTAAAAATCTAACTTAACTATATATACTTTTACTCTTCCTCCTTTAGTTTACTTACTTTTACTCTTTAATAATAATAATAATAACTCTTTTAATATATATATATATATATATATATATATATATATATACTACTCTTTATATAGGCTTTATTAAAGTAATTATAAGTCCTTAATAATTAGCCTTATAATATAACTATTAGTTATTATAAGTAAATGCCTAAGTAAAAATTATTATTTAATTAATATTACTTTAATTAAACTTTAATAAGTACTACGCTTTAATATATATATATATATATATATATTAATATATAGTATTTTTTAAGATGTTTTATATAGCATAATACTATTTTTATTATAATTTATTATTATTTTTTTTAATTTATTAAGAATACTTCTAACTAATTTAGTTGACTAATTAGTTAAGTAAGTCTAACTATAGTCACTTATATAAGCGACTAATACTAGCCTAGTCTAGTCTAGTTAGGATTTTTTAGTAACTATAGTTAGACTATATTAGTCAGACTATGACTATGACTAATGACTAAGTGACTAATTTGCTAACCCTGTGTGTAGATCACCTTTGCCGGGCACAGCGGGAAAGTGAGAGCAGCATGTGAGCAGGTACGGATATTTGTCGCCCATACTGGGCTGCCCAGCCGCAGGAGCCACTGCCGTGGAATGTCTGTTTTCCCGCCTGTGAGGTAGGTAGAAGTAGTAGGCGCATATAGGCGCGTACCTGCCTCTCCAGCACTCACCAGCTCCTTCCCTCGGGAAAACTCCAGGAGCAAGTGCGCTTGGGCCGCACGTGACTCTCACAGGTGCATTTGCCCATGTTGAGCCTACCTAAGAATATCCGACAGTGAGGGCAGGTACAGATATGCGTACCTGCGTTCACAGTCAGGCTGTGCCACTGGATGGCCGTCACGCGTGTGGCTGTGAAATAGGATCACCAGGCAGACACAATACGGAGACAGACATATTACGCAGCAAAGTCTTAAAGAAGCAGAGACTTCCAGTGGTGAAAGTTACTGCAACTGAACCATCACAAACACGAAAACCACCGGTGCATCATAATCAACCGTTGTGTCACAAGAAAATGGCATCCACTCCCCAACACTCCAACATGAAGCCACTTCCCGGTGCCCCTGCAGACGAAGCTCCGCCGCCGTACGAAGAGAAACCCCGCACGAGTCCGGGACCAGCACCACCACACCGGAGAAGTCCAGGACCAAGCTCAGGACCAGCAGGACCGTCGTCGGGGCCGCAGGTGGTAGCCCGCCAGTTCCCGCCAGCCTTCAATGTCTACTCGCAGAGCTTCAGCAGGACGATGCTCCTCGGCGAGCACCAGAGCCAGCCGTTCTATGGCATGTCGATACACAGCGGGTTGAGCAGCTCGCCGCCCATTGTGCTGCACTCTGGTCCGTCGGACAGGTTCCCGCCGCTCGCGTCAGTAGAGTACCACAGCTTCAGCAGCAGAATGAGCATAACGCTGCCACCTGCGCCAACACGTACACCAGGCGGCGGGCCCATTGTCGAACTAGAATCAAAGAGCGACTTCCCGTCATGGAGCTACCTTTTCGCCATAGGTGTGGGACCAAACTGTGAAAGACTAGAGCACTTTGAATGGAGGACAAGCTCTGGCGAAGCGATCGCTGCGCTGGATGGCCGAAGCAGAGGTTGGAAGCTCGTCAGGCTGGCTCAATCAGTGCCCCAGAATGCCGGACCAGGTGCATTCAGGGGAGGTGATGGAAAGGAAGTGGTCGCTGTCTGGACGGATGCTGGCATGAGCATGACCAAGTTGGCCAAGTTTGCGTTCATGGGCAGTGGGTTGACGGGTGAGCTGGGCGAACGGTGGGCAATTATGGCCGTCATATCTGGCTTGGCCATCTTTGAGCGACAGAGACAGCGAAGACGTAACAATCACTAATCTCTACAACAGCCAAGGCTTGAGGAGACGGAGGTAGAAGATTGATGGATGAGCTCACGCTTTGTAAGATGCCCAGGCACGCCAGGGATCTGTTTCGTTTAGTTTAGTTTTGATACCCGTAGGCTTTGACTGGCCATTGAACCTGTAGTTATAGTAAAGATAAGATGGCTTTCAACGATTCACTGACTCAAAGCTGTGAGCGCAGCTGCGGCACGCCTACCGAGCGACGTGTGATGAAAGGATGAACTGCCGCGTTTGAAGTGCAGACACCTGGTGACCTGGCTGAGCAGCGAGCGCTTCTTTTCGCTGCGCCGCCAGGGGCTTTTCTGCGCGTGCATCATGTTGAGTGCAGCGACAACCTTGACTGTGTACTTGGACCGGCCGAGTCAGGTGGTCGCTATTTGGAGAAACCGTCGCCAGAACATTCTCAGTTCTGAATCAACTCCATAAGGCAGTGATCAACTCGGCCGAGAAAAGAATACCACGATGGAACCAACATAGCCAAGCTTGGTGTTCGTAGATTCGATCGACTCTCCACGAAGGCATCCTGGCGTCGCATCCATCATGAGATTTTGTGCAGAGTGGACTCGGTGACTGGGTTATTCACTGCTGGAAAGAGCAACGAAGAAGAAGGGATTTCCATAAGATCGGCGATGTTTGTGTGCGGTACGCAGGTACGCGCTCGTCGATCGGCTGAAAAGGGGGTGGGAAACCCTTGCTGGTTCTCTGTGTGGAACATTGGGCCTTGAACATCGAGTTACAACGGGGCTCCCAGCGGCCTGGCTGGCCCCCTGTGGAGTAAGAAAGCAAGAAAAGGAAAAAAAAAAGACGTGCGTGATGGTTGATGTGCGGTGTGAAGCGCTGGCGCGCTGACAGGGGTTGAGATAGATTGAAATGGGGACGATGATAGGGATGGGATGACAAGGCCGTAGCCGTGAGACCCGGGCGGTTGGCAGACGGATCACGGCACGGGGCTCCGAGCAGATCTTCTCGCTCTCACGGCGTCAGTCAGCAAGAAAGAGAGTTATCCGTCAAAGTGGTCAAGCCGGTGGATGACGGGGACTGGAGTCCAAGAGGGGTAATAACGCCAATGCTCATGTTCTGCATTGATGGATACAGTGGCCTGCTCATCGACGTCGTCATTAGCCTCGGGCCAAAGCCGCCAAAAGCATATTGAGGTGGGCAGTGGGCACGGGAAGTCTATTGGCAAAAGCATATCACGCATACTGCTTATACTGTGCGTGAGGGGGGGCAGCGGGCATCTCCCTACTTTAAATCAATCTCGCATCGACGGAAATCCTTCGTTGCACTCGTGGAGTTCTACAACAATGCCGCTGTCCGCTGGGCAGCTGGGCCAGGAAGAGATCAAATGCAATTTCAACTCGAACTTGAACTGGCATGGCTTGCCCAGCAGAGATGCTCAGAACGGTTGTTGCCCCCGAGTTCGGGCGCGCGCCGCCACATGGCCCCTCCTGTTCCATCGTTTGTTGGGTCCTCTTCCCGTGCTCATGTCCGAAAATTGACGGGAAAAAAGAAGAAAAGAGAAGAGACGCAGGGCCAAACCAGGTCAGACTCCAGAGTTATCAGTTGGCTCCTTGGTTCTTGAGAGCCGCTGAAGCCCCGTTCAATCTCTTGATCAAGCCTGCCGCCTGCCAGTGTCCCGCAAGAAGAGCCCAGAAGAGGGACGTTCAAGGAATTGAAGCCACCAGCCTGGCCGGTCCAGCCTGCCGAGCGGTCTAGAAAGGGTGACCAGGCCTGTAATCATAATGTTTGTGCCTGTTGCCCAGCCTGCAAGCTGCAAGAACAGAGATAATGAGGAGTCAAAGACCCAGCCTGGAAGCGCTCAGGTCAGCAGCTGGCGGCGGCAAAGTCTTTGGCAGTGACAGGGCAGGATTCTCTTCTGGGATGAAGCAGAGAGGATTGGTGGAAAAGGGGAGGGAACTGCAACTCAAGGAAGTCCACCAGGCCAGGGAAACGTCTGTACCCTGCCTTGCGCAGGGGGCAAAAGTGTTTTTTTTCCACAGAACGATTTCTATCCATGATGCGTGGGCTGGAAGCGTGGCCACCCCTGAGGTCCCGCCACGACGGACAGGACGTTGAGCCTCTTTCGGGAAGTAGCGCGTAGAGTGTTAATTGAGGCCGCGGAGGCTGCAGGGCGAATCTGGTGATAATTAAGAAAAAGGGGATGGGTCTCAGGACTTGGCTGTTTCAGGGTGGCCGCCGGGATCTGACGGGGATCTGACCGGGGGGCTCCCGGTGGTAGACGCCGGGATGGCCAATCGGTTCGGCCAGCGAAGCTCGGGAGTGGATCTTCAAGCACCGGTTGACATGGGATGGATCCTTGCTCGCGTTGTTCAAGTTGAGCTCCAGCCCTTGTCTAGTGTCCTCGTCGAGGCCATCGAGGGGGACTTGCATTGTCTCACCTTTTGGGCGCATGTCAACTGAACTGACATTTGCTTCTTCCCCAACTGACAACGACATGGCAGTTGGCCGAGCCATCTGCAAGTTGTGAACTCATCGTGCCCCATGCTTACGACCAGTATCGTGGCATGGATAGACCTATCTACGCTTATGCTAGCGCCCGGAGCAGCCCACCAACTTGAGCCTGTCCAATATGTTTGCATCGCGCACACCAGCGTAAGCGCAGTCGGCACTCGCCTGTTGCTCTCAGAAAGTCTTGGATATCTTGCCCCCCTTGACTCCTTCAACCTTGAGCCTTGAGCCCCTCGTGCCCCTCGTCATCCTAGACATCTGGGCCCAGGCTTCCCAGCAGCGTGGGAGATGTTGCCCAGAGTCTATTGGCTTCTTCCCCTGAGCCACATCTTCTAGATCGAAGCCCACCATTCACAATACACCAAATCCAAAGAGGACCAAGACCCCCAAAGACCACCACCCACATCCCAATGATCCCAGCCGTGCCTGTCTCCCGCATACGCGAGATCCCCCTCCCCATGTTTATCCCCACCACTTGGCCGGATATGATTGTCCTGCGTATAATTGAAACTTTGGCGGAGCGGCGGAAGTGGTCCTCTTAATCTTGACCCGATGGAGTTGAGAAAGGACGCCAACGGCGCAAGTGCCCGTGTTGGGAAAACAACCTACGATGCCCTCCCGTATATATCATCACCTCTGCCCAGTCTCCCTTGACCTAGAATTCTCCTTCCTACGATCCATAGTGTTCAGCTTCACTTGACTTGTGTGTCTATCTCATTCCTTCGTTCAACTTTTGTCATTCTTTTCACTTGACCAGGTAGTCATTCATTCTTTTCGGTCCTTGACCTCCAACAACACTCATTCCTCCCAACCGACCTCGATATTCTCACAGTCAAGCCAACCAACCCCTTTTTTGAACAACTCTCGAAAAACAAAAACTCCAAATCGCAAAAATGAAGTCCTCTATCGCCTCCCTTCTTGGATCCGCAGCCCTGGTGGCTGCCCACGGTTACGTCTCTGATGGTCTCATCGGTGGCACCAACTACACCTTCTACCAGCCCTACCAGGACCCGTACACGAGCCCGGCCCCCGAGCGTATCTCCCGTCCCATCCAGGGCAACGGCCCCGTCGAGGACCTGACCAGCATCGACCTCCAGTGCGGTGGCTACACCGCCGGTGGTGTCAAGGGCTCCTCCCCCGCCAAGCTTGTCGCCGAGGCCAAGGCTGGTGACGAGGTCACCCTCAACTGGACTCTCTGGCCCGAGTCTCACATTGGCCCTACCATCACCTACATGGCCAAGTGCGCCGGTGATGACTGCACCACCTTCACCCCCAACACCGACAAGGTCTGGTTCAAGGTCCAGGAGAGCGGCCGTGAGGGCACCTCCAACACCTGGGGTGCCACCCCCCTCATGACCGCCGGCAACTCTGGCGTCAAGTACACCATCCCCGAGTGCCTTGCCCCCGGCCAGTACCTCGTCCGCCACGAGATCATCGCCCTCCACGCCTCCTACTCCTACCCCGGCGCCCAGTTCTACCCGGGATGCCATCAGATCAAGGTCACCGGTTCCGGCAGCACCAGCCCCTCTGACCTGGTTGCCTTCCCCGGTGCCTACGCCGCCACTGATGCTGGTATCACCTACGATGCCTACAAGGCCCAGGAGTACACCATCCCCGGCCCCGCCGTCTTCTCCTGCTCCGGCTCCGGTTCCGGCTCCGGCTCCGGCGCTGCTTCCTCCGCTGCCCCCGTTGCCACTTCCGCCGCCGCTACCTCTGCCGCTGCTGCTACCTCCGCCCCGGCCGCTACCTCTGCCCCCGCCACTTCTGTTGCCTCTGCTGCTACCCCCAGCCAGACTGCCACCGATGATGAGGAGGACTGCCCCGTTGAGTCTGCCTCCGCCACCGTCAGCGCCGCTGCCACCGTCCCTACTCTCGCCGCCGATGAGGAGGAGGACTGCCCTGCCGAGTCCGAGGTCCCTACCGCCACCGCCACCGCTGCCCCCGTTGCCACCCCTACTCAGGCCGCTGACGACGAGGAGGACTGCCCCGCTGAGTCTGAGGCTCCCGTTGCTACCTCCACTGCCGCCGCCCCCGTCGCTACCCCTACCCAGGCTGCCTCCGACGATGAGGAGGACTGCCCTGCCGAGTCCTCTGCTCCCGTTGCCACTCCCACTCCCACCCAGGCTGCTGACGACGAGGAGGACTGCCCCGTCGAGACCCCCTCCGCGACCGCCGTCGCCAAGCGCATGAGCATTCACGACCGCCGCATCCAGGCATAAGCGATTTCCACGATTTCACTGTTTATCACGGGATCTGGTCTCGAGGGTTGAGGCGACCTAGATGGCTAAGGGGATGCGATAGCTATCCTGCTCGTAGTGGGTGTTCACACTTGTGACGTCCACGAATCTGATTCGGTCCAGGACCAATCTCTTTCATGTACAAAGTCTTTCCTGTATACCGCTTTACATAAAGTATATATCTTTAACGATATAGATCGTACCATTGTCACGTTCATAATCTGTTCAAACTACTTTCAACTTGCTCCGTGACTGTAAAAGAGATCGGCTGTGCAAAAGCGGGTTCTGGAAAAAACATCCCGTCGGATGTTCCGCTCGAAGATCAGATGAACTCTGGTTCCTGAAGGCTGCTGACGAACGACTCGCTCAAGTGGTTTCAACTACATTGAAATAAGGCCCAGTTTATGAACCCTGTCGGAGTAGCCTTAGCGCCGTTGTTTTCAATAAAGATTACTATGATCGCTGCTATCACTCAGCTTGACAGGCATGATCCTTCAATGCACTTTGAAGGTGCGAAGGCCTCGGCAAGTCTCGGATGGCCAGACTCTCGCAGATCCTTGGTTCGCTGACAACAAGATACATGGGATAGAGAAACCGGCAATACTCTCGCTACATTCAAACTCATCGCTCCAATCCAAAAATTCGTTGATTCACACATTCAAACACTACCGCCACTGCGCAGACTGGATTTCTCAACCATAGACTCTTGGACTTGAGAAACGGGAGCTGTGCGTCGCTTCTTCATCATGAAGAATGCAATGGCACCAATGATAGCAACGCCGAGAGTGACCATGGCACCAATAACACCGGCAACGACATTCGACATGCCTCCGCTGCTCCCTGAGCTGGAGCTCGTAGCTTCCTCATCTTGGTAAGCCGCACAGAATGACACAAGACTAGAGCAAACAGTGCACCATTCCTCGACGGTACTGATGGCTCTCTTCTGCATCTCTTCGACGAAGCGCGGCCATGATAGAGTGTCTTCTCCAGTACCGAAAAGGGGAAACGCCGTCAGCTCGCCAAAAGTGCCGTTGCGGAACAAGAAGCGCACACGAAGGTCGGCATCGACATTCGCGGGGAATACAGTCGTGTTATCGCTAACGAGCTCAAACGCCATCGTCGAGGCATAGTCTGGGAGACCGTAGAAGTCGTCCGAAATGGTGATGAGATCAGTAAGACCAAAGAAGGACATGAAGGTGTCGTAGCTTCCTGCGAGAAGGGAGAACTTGAGTTTTCCCTTGGAAGCAACCGTCTGGTTGAGTTGGGCAAGGATGCCAGCCGCAAGAGTCTTTGCATGAATGGTGCTGTCGGGCTTGGACGCATTGAAGTTGTAACCGAACTCAGCGCTGTCTGCCAACGTTCGCAGCTGGAAGAGCTCCTCGTCCGTTACGTTCCGGGCCAAAGACGTGCTATTGTGGATGCGTGCCACATTTACCAAGTCAAATATGTCGTACGCGTTCTTATATGTCATATTCTCGGGCTTGTAGTCGTACACACTCTCGAGCACATCGTAGAAGCTGCCGTAAAAGTCCTTGGTCTCCGTGACACGGGTCTGAAACTCTTCACTTGCTTCGAAGGCCTTGTAGGCCTTGGCATTCGTAGGACATCCGTCATCCCCCTTGATCCAGATAGTGTCTGGCGAATTAGAGTTCTCTCCATGAAGGAGAACATACTGGTAGCCGTTTAGGGGGCTTGTACTTGTGCTGCCGTTGTTGAGGGTCGACGACGCAACCTGAGCGTTGAGGCCTACCAACGGAGGATAGAGGCCTTGTAGGAATGCCGTAGCCGTATTCAATAGGATGCCTTGGTCGGGAGCACTGGCGTAAATTTGCGAGGAAACGTATTTATCCTCGGAAATGTTGAGAATCCGACTAGAAGAGTCCGCCTCCAGATAGCGGCCTCGGTAGTCACTGCCAACCTCGAAACACTGCTGGGCACCGACGCTGGTCAACGACTGAGCTCCATAATGCTTCGTTGTTCCTAGATTTAGGCGTCAGCTTGTATCCGATGCTCATTTCTGCAGGCATAAGACATACGATCGCCATGACGACTGAAGACGACAACGCCGTGGACAGTCTCGGCGGCTGCGGAGCCGACGAGTGAGATCACAATAAAGGCAGCCGCAGGAAGCATCTTGCTGAGCCTTCTTGAAGTCGTTTACAGTACCAAGCCTTGGCAGAGTGCAAAGAAGCCAGCGCCGGTCTAGGAAGACAGTGGCCGGCCTCGCGAGGTTTTTATGCCCCTCGCCGAGCGGCCCAGCTATCTAAACTCGCCCGCCATCCGCTGCCAAGCAGAAAATCTCGCTGCTCTCATCGAGTTATATCTCTGCTCAAGCGGGGGAGTCTACATCTCCTTCCAGTCCCGAGGGGCGGAGATGCTCAAAAGTCTCTTGGGCTACCGCCGCCAAGCACTTGGCATGCATCGCAACAAATCAAGCTCTGCGATAACAGCGGCTGTCGGCGGCAATTAATCATTTGGCCAGTCAGAGCCGATTTAGCGATACAAATCGACTGGTTCGCCTTTGAAATAAGCTGAAATCCAACGAATCTGCATATTTGGGAGAGAGTTTTATCTCTACTATAACACACTTTGACGAATAATTGCGACAAGTACAATTAAAAGTACATATTGGCTTCAGGCCACTCCTCTGATTCTGACCACCAGTGTGCCTATACAACCCTCGAA